TTAGTAAAATATTTCTATTAGATTTTCTATTTTAACACATAGATATTTTATCATAATCAACATTCAAAGGTTACCGAGTCTAAAAGAGTTTTTGCAAATGATAAACATATTATCAATGGTGTGTGAGAATTGATAATAATGGGTTTGTNAATATATGGAATGGGGAAATAAAAATAAGTCATCTATACTGAAAATTTGACAGCTCATTTATAAAAGCCTGCAGTGCAAAAGGACCCCTCGACCTCACATAACCTATAATAGACCTAAAAAAGGGTGCGACCTAAAATGACCTAACCTGACCAAAAATAACCTTAGACTAAAGTCGCCTAAGGTTGGTTTGGGTCCTCCGACCTACCTCGACCAAAAATGACCTAAGATTAAGGTCGCCTAAGGTCATTTTAAGGACGTTTTAGGTCGCCGACCTAGATCGACCTAATTCAGACCTTAGACAACCTAAATTCAAGGTTGGTTTACGTCGGTGGTTTGCGGGGTGGAATCCACCCAAGAGTAACTGCCTGTTCAGAGAAGTAAGAGAGCTGACAGGGGTGTTTTCTACCTGGTCTCAGATTTATTACGAGCTCAAGGGAATTCAGAATCTACCTAACGAATGTGGAAACCACCGAGTTCAGATCACCAATGTACAAGACATAAATCTTTTAAGAACGGCAGAGAACACAGAGGTCGATCTTCATCCAATTAGTCCTGAAGAGCTAAGCAATGCTGCCGAGTTGAGATCACTGGCCTTGTTTCTACGGTACAAGATGGAAATGGGAGAAGGACAAAGAAATGAGCTGGGAATCCAAATGTCCTGTGAAGCCAATGTCAAGGAACCCTCAGAAGCTCCGCCTCATCATTTAGGTGGAGGAGTATTTGTGTTTAAACAAGGGGAAATCGTCTATCAGTGTTCCTGTTCTCAAGTAACAGTCAAATTAATGGAACATTGTTACCTCGATATCCAAATCCATCAAGAGAAAGAGTACAGGTACATCTCCATTGCCAATAGAATGTTGGTCACTTCATCAGCTCAGGAACCCTGCGTGCCCCATTTCTCGAAAGCAATGCAGGGAATAAAAAATTGGATTAGGATAAGTCCCAAGCTCAGGTCCATTCCTCGGCCACGGTCAGAGACGAAGGAGACTGCCCAAACTCATCATGAAGATGAATTGGGTTTGTACACCCAGGCGGAGGAACGGGATTTTGACCATATTGCCGGTTTGGCTTATTATACAGCCCAGGTTCAACAGCGGATTGTCCATGTGGTCTGCAAGAATGATGAGAGCTGTGATCTGAATCCATTACCAGGAAGTCCATCATACTCTTTGACGAAACTAGAACAAGAAGCTGAAGATTTCATAACATTGGGCGGATGGAACTTTTTTCTCAAGAAGGTATGGGAACCAGTGCAGTATGCAATCCGAGTGTATGCAACCATAGGAGGATGTATTACCACAACACAGTGGGCGTTCTGGGTCTTAAAGGTCATGAAAAAGGGACTGGGCGCCTGCTGCAAGTTCCCAGTGGCGGAGAACAAGTTCAGCGACGCCATGCTCATAGAGCTTATGGGGGACTCACACCATGCTCCCTCCGCCCCAGCAAGGAAAGGCTGAGTTCGTTTTAACCAAAGGAAAGGTTCTGACGGAGAGGTAGAGTTGGGAATCTCTACTTAACGCATGACCGCGGTCATGATCAATTCTATCATCATATTCCATGATGATAGAATCAAGGGTGGATGTAAACCCACCAACGATGTATATAGATTGCATACTGTATCCTAGTTCATTCAACCCAAGCCAAGTCTTATCATCAGTTGAAGACTGGGTAAATGAATAACAATAATTTAATTACTTGGCATCTGTACCAACGGGGGAAGGAAATTTCCACAGAATGCGTATTTACCCAGCAAGACAACGGACATTAAATTAACATCAAATTGACATCTTTTTAGAGTTTAGTGACGTCATTTTGACATCACAAAAAGACATCAAATTGACGTAAAAACGTACCCACTTTAACGTCAATATGACGTCATATTAAGACGTTAGATTGATGTCAAATATCCTGTAAACCAAACTGCTTTCTTTATAATACATACACACTACCCAGCAATCACAGCAGGCAGTAGAATACATTTCAAATATAATATCAAGAAAATCTTTTCTGGAACAGGTTTTTATTTATCCGTTCACCAAAGGAAAAAAAAACGTTGGTTTTGTTAAAATTGTTAACTGAGAAGTAATTAATGGAAAATATATTAGAGTTGTATGCATACCCATAGCCTTAAAGGGAGTGTTCGCGAAAATGAAATTAAAGGGGTATAGGCGGACATCAAATTGAATTCGATAATGATCGTTACTAATTTTACTTTTATCTCTTGCATCTATAAGGAGGAAATGGTTAAAAACATCTTAAACCTAAGGACGTATTGTCCATACAAATTCACAAAGTTTCATTATTTCACTCAGATCGTAAATAATTCAATTAAATTCAAATTTAAACGTTCAGATATTACAACCTACAAGTGTTGAATTCAATTAAACTGAAATATGTGTGAACACAATTGGTCATAAGATTGGTTAAAGGAATATATCATCGTTTTTCTCTCTTAAAAAGGGACTGTAAACGTTATTTCAAGTGAACCTCCATGCAAAGAAGGAAATGCCGGATATTTAGCAGTAACCAATTTAAAACTTTGTCTAATCATTGACAACTCTATCTATGTGTTTATCTTTAAAATCTCTTAAAGGTATTTAAATTACCAGAAAACTTTGGTGTACGCCAAGGTTATAATGTATGGAAAGTTAATTGCAGTTGCGTATACTCTGCGTACATATTGAAACCTGTTCTCTCTGGGCGGAATTTGTAAACAAGAACAGATGCATCAGTGTTTGTTTAGTATCCGAGGAGGTTAAAAGCATTAAATTTTGATAATTTTGATAATTTACATAATAGTTTCCAATGACTAGAATATTTCATTGATTTTTTATGTGAAAGATGGATCCCATGTCAGGCTTCGACATCCCTCTTGTGTATACATTACCGCCAAGAGACAGTACACTGCAGTACAAAAGATGCGTACACCTCTGAAATAACTTTCCTTGCAATATAACCTTGGTGTACGCTATAATGTACAATTTAAAAACATCAAGTGCTCAACAATTTCCAGCAAGCATTTTGTAGATAAATATATAAGTAAGTCCGAAGTTCAAAGGGTACTGTTGTAAATCTGACACGAACTCTTTAAATGTGTTCACTTGAAATTACGCCTTATCTTCCACTTAAAAGTGTTTAATTCTGTTAGATGCATTCTTTGTCTTTACAATAAAAAATTTTAATTATCATTTTAATCACAATTGTAAGAATTTGTTATACTCTGCTAAATGTTGAGTTGAAACCAATCTTTAATGTTTATTACAAACAAAGAACCCCTCACATTATTCTCCAAAAAAAAATCTTCATAGAGTAGTAAATTTTATAATCTCCATACATAATCTTCAATTACACCTGCTTCTGATAATGCACGAAATATCCACCTGGCCCCCTCCCCTTTCCTTCCTGCCCCCCTGCCATTTCCCATTCCTCCCTTCTGACATTTGACATTTCTAAAATTTCTGCTTGATTTTTGATAATTGCTTAAACCACAAAAAAATCTTGAAATATGTTTGAACTGTATTGCACTTCTTCACAACATTTCATATTGCATTCATATCCGGCAGTTAATCTAAATGAAAGAATTAAACGCCAAACTCAAACCTTTAAATCCTCAAATAAAAACTTTTTAAGAACTAATTTTAACTCTTTTTAAAAAACATTAATTTATGAAAATCAAGAGAAAAAAATTTGTATATTGGGTATTTTTAAATCATTTCAGAAATGGTCATACGTATTTAAGTACATGGGGTTACTCACTTAAAGGATGATACTTGAAACTTTTCAAATTTTGAATTCACTGCCTTTAATGTAGTTTTACAATGGCATAATTAATGATTTGCCAAGGAAAGGAATAAGTTTATAGTCGCGGGAATTATATAAATATAAAATATAAGGTAAAAGACGGTACAAATTCCGTACAGTCGTCTCTGAAGTGTCATACTTTGTAGGTAAACCTGTAGAATAAAAAAAACACCATCTTTTTACAATGGCATAATTAATGATTTGCCAAGGAAAGGAATAAGTTTATAGTCGCGGGAATTATATAAATATAAAATATAAGGTAAAAGACGGTATAAATTCCGTACAGTCGTCTCTGAAGTGTCATACTTTGTAGGTAAACCTGTAGAATAAAAAAAACACCATCCTTGTAAAAATAATCTTAGTGCTTTAGTTAAACCACGCCTATCTTGTACAGTCCTTTTCATCAAGGGTTACATGATCACATTTATATTTCCGTTAAAAAGAGTGTTCTTAGATTTTTCTTAGATTTGATTATCTTTTTAAAATATTTTGGATCCATGTTTTGTAATCACTGCTGCCAGCCTTTTGAGGAAGGATGTCATCATCTTTCAATTTTCTAAATGCATTCATTGACAATTACAAATACATTCCATGGCAATATTTTATGCAGAATAATTATAACATCCATGTACAAGAAAATATTTCAGTAAAAATACCCTTTTCTTTGGTTTTTTTCTCCCCTTTTTTAACAACAATGAGTTTTTTGTTAACACCAAAGAGAATAGAATATAAATTAGAGAGGAATTTACTAGAAAGAAAGTTTAAAACGGCAATTTTGTTGTACTGTTTCCATACTGCAGGTGTACTTCACATATTCACACCTTTTGGGCCCTGTAATTTCATTTTACAGAAAATCTAAAATTAATAATAAAAGAAACCCAAATTATGAAATAGGCTGGTTTCTTAATTGACCAATGATCATTTCACATAGACTCTATGCCTTTCACTTTACGAACGATGATTTTCCATTATAAAAATAAATCAAATGATGTTTTTTTTCACCAAAATAATTTTATAAAGTTCATTTAACAGCTTTAAAAAATTCAAAATTGAAATGAATAGTTTAGGGAACATAATGTATTACTATACTCTACTGCATATAATTTGTGAACATTTGCATGATTAGTACACTTTGAACACCCTTGAAATTCCACTCTAATATATATTCTTTTCTTTTTTGTTAATACCCTTTGTTTAAGCATGCAAGGTTAGGAGAATGCGGAATAATTTCAGAACATTGATTCAGTCATGGGCAGTGGGGGTAGTAAGAACCTTAGTGCTGAGGAACATAATACGGTATTTATGTTAATATATGCTATATATTATATATAATATTATATGGTTTTTATTATTGTTATCTTTTTTTATTAATTATTATTTGTATTATTATTAATATCATTATTATTATTATTATCATTGTTATCATTATATTGAAGGGTCGTCGTCCATCCCAACACGAGTTGACGAATCCTCCACCACAATCTACAGGTATTAAAAGGACTTAACACGGTTGTAATAAGGGTGTGGGACCATTTGTCACTTTTTAAATAAAAATAGTTCAGTGCGTGTCTAAACAGTTTCTTTAATAAAAAACAAAAACTAATCTAAATTTTCAGTATTTTTTTAAAGGTAATTTTTGAAAAAGTTTAGATGTAACTAGTTTAAGAAGAACGTCAATGGTACCGAAAATAAAAGCTGTAAGAAAAAAAATTATTGGCCACAGAAAAGTAAAAAAAAACGTTGAAGGACTGTCCAACAAACATAATTAACATTCCACAAACTAATGTTCTACTTGAAAAATAGATAAAATAAATCATTGAACTTAAAGAAAAAGGACCATTACACATTAAACAAATTAAATCCTTCAAAAGTTCAAGAGCATTTTAAGTTTCAAGGTAAATTATAGAAATTGATTTTTTTGTCACTTTTGCTTTTTCAATTTCTTTCTCTTTGCTCCCAAATTAGTATTCCAAATTATAAATTCTGTTAGATCAACTAATTTAATTTTGAAATATTAGAGGTTTACACTATCAGGTTACAATTAATATGAATGAGAATATTTGAGTTAGTGGCAAAAACTCGATTCCACTACGAGAATTATTTCAAGAAATAAAATATATAAAGAAACTGTAAATTTAGTAAATAATTTTCAGAGCCAAATAAGTTCTCTGTGAAAAAGGGATTACTCGAAGTTAAAGAGACTAATTTTACTGAGTCTATTATGGGCAAACCAGAGAGTAAGAGTAAATAGACGTTGTCCTGCATGTACAATAATTAATTAACATAATATTTTCCTATGACTAGAATATTTCATTGATTTTGTATATGAAAGATGGATCCCATGTTAGGCTTTGACATCCGCTTTTTGTTTACATTACCGCCCAGAGACAGTACACTGCAGTACAAAAGATGCGTACACCTCTGAAACACTTTTCTTGTATTAGTAAAAGTAAATAGATGTTGTCCTGCATGTACTAATATGTACATATCATCGTTTTATTCAATGAACATTAATAGATTAAGCATGTACATTGTAAATTGTAATACACATTTGTACTTATGTACGCGTACTAGGTATACTGGCAATACACATTTACATTCAAAAGATGTGACACTATATATATATGTACATTATACAATTATACAATTATACAGTGTATATATTTGTACAATTAGCAAGCATATTGGGGTCCGTCCAGGTATACGAATTTTGGACCCCCCCCCCCCTATCTATTTTTTCAATAGAATTAACATATTTATTTAGGGTTAGGTTAGGTTAAGACACTTTCTGGGCCGAGCAGGCTAGAACAGGCTATTGGGCCAAGCGCTGCGAATAGAAAAGGCTAGGGGGCCGAGCGCCACGGCTAGGACAGGCTAGGGGGCCGGGCGCTACCGACACATGGTAAATTATATCCACGTCTTGCATAAAAGATCCATGTACAAAATTTGCAGGATGGGGTGGGGGTAAGGGGGGGGTCAAAATTCGTATATTAGGAAATTACCGCACAAATTGTACTTTACGTCAAACTAAAGTAAATTTCACGTTAGTTTGAAATCTTATATTTCTAATATTTAACCGAATCAATTTGTTTTTCTCATACTTACATCTTTCTCGCTAATTATTTCCTGTTCACGATCTTGCCCCTAATTATTTACTGCTAAAGATCCTGCTCCCTAATTATTTTCTGTGCAAAATCTTCCTCCCTAATTATTTTCTGGTTTAGATCATACTACCTTGTTTTCTGTACAAATAAATGCTCCCTAATTGTTTTCTGGTTTAGATCTTGCTCCCTAATTGTTTTCTGTTTAAGATCTTACTCCCAAATTATTTTCTTTTTTGATCTTGCTCCCAAAATATTACTACTTAAGATCTATGCTTCCTAATTATTTACTGTTTAAGATCTTGCTCCCTAATTATTTAATGTTTAAGATCTTGCTCCCTATTTATAATTACTGCTTAAGATCTTGCTCCCTAATTATTTACTGTTTAAGATCTTGCTCACAAATTATTTACTGTTTAAGATCTTGCTCCCTAATTATTTACTGTTTAAGATCTTGCTCCCTAATTATTTACTGTTTAAGATCTTGCTCCCTAATTATAATTACTGATTAAGATCTTGCTCCCAGATTATTTACTGATTAAGATCTTGCTCCCTAATTTTTTACTGTTTAAGATCTTGCTCCCTAATTATAATTACTGCTTAAGATCTTGCTCCCTAATTATTTCCTGCTCAAGATCTTGTTCTCTAATTATTTACTGTTTAAGATCTTGCTCCCTACTAATTTACTGTTTGAGATCTTGCTCGCTAATTATTTCCTGTTCAAGATCTTGCTTCATATTTGTTTTACTGTTTAAGATCTTGTTCCCTAATTATTTACTGTTTAAGATCTTGCTCCCTAATTATTTACTGTTTAAGATCTGGCTCCCTAACTATTTACGGTTTAAGATCTTGCTCCCTAATTATTTACTGTTTAAGATCTTGCTCCCTAATTATAATTACTGCTTAATATCTCGTTCCCTAATTATTTCCTGTTTAAGATCTTGCTCCCTAATCATTTACTGTTTGAGATCTTGCTCCGTAATTATTTACTATTTAAGATCTTGCTCACTAATTATAATTACACATTAAGATCTTGTTCCCTAATTATTTAATGTTTAAGATCTTGCTTCCTAATTATCTAAGATTTAAGATTTTGTTTCCTAATTATAATTACTGCTTAAGATCTTGCTCCCTAATTATATACTGTTTAAGATCTTGCTCCCTAATTATATACTGTTTAAGATCTTATTCCCTAATTATTTACTGTTTAAGATCTTGTTTCCTAATTATTTACTGTTTAAGATCTTGCTTCCTAATTATTTACTGTTTAAGATCTTGCTTCCTAATTATTTACTGTTTAAGATCTTGTTCCCTTATTATCTACTGTTTAAGATCTTGCTTCCTTATTATTTACTGTTTAAGATCTTGCTTCCTAAACTCTTACTGTTTAAGATCTTGATTCCTACTGATTTACGGCTTAAGATCTTGTTCCCTAATTATTTACTGCTTAAGATCTTGCTTCCTAATTATTTACTGCTTAAGATCTTGTTCCCTGTGATATTTGTGGAAGAAAGTTTGCTGAAGACAGAATAGAAAGACATAAGGTAGAAGTAATAGTCTTCCTGACTACAGTTATAACCAGCAAACTATGGGATAGAAAGCAAAACAATTTAGTGTATTTGATGATGTTACAAAGCAGAAAGTTTTACTAGACAATTATTAAATCACTTTACAGTGATATGGGTCTGTTTACTTCATGCGCAATTGCTGTGTCTAATGATCATTGAACTTTTTAAAGACATCTTTCTATTTCTGAGTTTTCTGGTTATTACTGTACTTAAATATAAGATTACCGGCATGAACCTGAGTAAATTGATACCAGGCATAAGAAATGTATTCACTTTGGTATAAGAATACATATATTCAAGTAGTAGGTACGTCACTCTTGTATGCCGAGTCCATTAGCGCCTGATCCAATTAGGGTTCAGTCATGTGTTTGTTGTCTATTCTGAACCAATAGAAATAGTTTGGCGGTAACATATCTTTCTATCTATCTCATTATCCAATTAGAGTTATGAATCCTTTAATCGGCGCTATCAGTAAATGAAAATATTTACTTCTACTGAAACTATAGTGACGTAACCAACAGAACACATAAACACCATTGTACACAAACACCAAAAAGAATACATTTTGGACTATAGAATGAATGTCTGTTACTTTAACATTTGACTTTAACCAATAATAAATCAGGCTGGTAACCAATCGGAATTTGAAATACCAGAGATGGAATTTAAAGAATTTGAGTCGCGGTTTAAATCAGCCAAAACCCGGTTTAAATTAAGCGCCGGCTTAAATCTTTAAAAATTTGATACAATTTTAAGTGGAACCAACCATATTTAAGCCGCGGCTTAAATTTAAACCGCCGCTCAAATTCTTTAAATTCGGCCACAGACTGTCTAAATAATTTAGCTTTTATGACAATTAAACAAAAGCTGACTACCGGACTATTATAAACAACCTAATTATAAGACCATTCACACTTTTCATATCATTTATTAAAAGACTATTTGTTCAATATTAAAATTATGAACTTTATCGCTTCAAAGTAAATAGTTTAACTAGATGGCTCTGTGTACATATTAAATTGCTAACATGAACCAGTTTAATTTTAATCAGTGGTCTCTGTTAAAATATCAATACAGTAACATTTAAAGAACCTGATTTTTTTATTTTTAACTCCACTTTAACGATATGCATGACGACGACTGTATTCAAATTGATAACTTGAGCCTATTCCACAGTTTTATGATTTTCACTGTATCTAACTAAATTAAGGAAATTTGCATGAAAACGACAACTAAAGAGAGGGAAGCATTTGATGTTAGAGAACAACGGTTGGACGGTACTGAAGCTGTCAACTATAAGGTTTGATATTTTATAATTCCATGCCCCCTTCTAATTCCTTATTATTAGTTTAAAGTTAACATTTCTTGTTTCAATATATAGTTTTAGCCATTCTTAATAAATGTATGGTGTAGTTTTGTTCAACTCGGCTTGGATTTAAAGATATTTATACGCCTAAAAACTTTGCAGGTTTGTCCCATTTCTAAGTGTTAAAAAAAAGGCAAGTGTTAGCTTTGAACTTATTTCCTCTGTTATTAGGATGTGGAAGTTGATACAGAGATCAAGAAAGCAGATTGGAAGAAAACTCACAGAGATATTATTAATCAAATAAAGGTATTTTATTCTTGTATTTTATACTTTTACAAGATTTTACATGATAACCCAACCTTTATCTTTTCAACCTAAAGTCAGACCTTAGATATTTCAAACAATGTATTTCTATTAGATCAAATAATATAAGCTTGAAATATGAGGTGTACATTTTTGGCCATAAGAAAATTTTAGTTTGCGACTAAAAAATTCAAATCTTGGAGGAGATACAGAGTGTTATTTGTCCGATACAATGATGATAATGAACGCCACGATATAAGTGAAGCTTGCGCAGCGGTACTGCGTGTAACTCTCGGTATTTATTGATTGTTGATGGAAGAAGACAACCTAGGCTGCTTTTTCAAATTCGTTAACAATGCATGAAGGATGTCTTAAATACCTCATGTTCTGGCATTTTCATCATTATTTTGTCTATTTTGTGATTTCAAATTTACTTTAAGATATGAAGAGTTTGTTAGTTCAGGCAGTTTTGGTTTTATTTGATATTTCTTTGAAATTTATTTCAATTTTTGGTCTTCATAAATGCGCTAAGCGGTGGTACGCGATGATATCAATATAATCGACAAGACGACTATTTAAGTTTTAATTTATTAACAAGCTTTTTTCGAAATACAAGTTTACATGTAATTAAAGAGAAGCTTTTTAAATTGACAGCTTATCTTTGTTTCCATATTTTTGTGTATCCATTTTTGTGTAAAAATCAAAATTCAATTAGAAAGTCGTCTTCATTATATTGATATTATCGCCTACCACTGTAGAAAAGCAAATCGTATTTCAGAAAAGCCAGAACTAGAATCAAGGATATATTTTCTGATTTTTATTTCAAAAATTGTACATGTAAAATGCAAAAGATCAAAGACTAGTTTAAAAACTTATTTTCTGTTTGTTTAGGCTGCAAAGAGAGACAGACCCGCTTCTGGGAAAAGAGAACCAGAGATTGAAATACTAACATAAATGTCGTCTTTCTTGAAACTTCCCTATGAACAAATTAATGATCTTTTAGCCACACTAGCTGAACTAAAAGTTTATCCGTCACATTTTATATTAAATCATATATTAATGCACAAAGCAGAATATTAATAAACATGATAAAGAAAAATACTGAAAAAATTTATTTTTATTTTGGAAAAAAAGTTTTTTTTTTATTTAATAAGGTTGCTTACTCTCGAACCTCGAATTACGAAATTTTATTTTCGAAAACAGAGAAAAATTACGTCCCAATCCCTCCACTCCTCTCTATACTCAGTGACTTGTAGAATATTTTGGTTATATATATGATTTTTTAAAAAAAATTGTTAAATTGAATTACTGTAGCCGAATTTTTGGGTGTAAATCGATTTTTATTGGATATTTTCCATATGTATATCAATATATAACCAATCAAATAAAAAAAATAAGTTGCATTAGTTTATTTTTGGATTCAGCTTTAATTATAATTACTGAAATTAAAGCAAAAATATGGGAAATTTATCTTATTTCTTATTTCAAAATAGTAAATACAAATTTAGAATATGATTGTAAAAATAAATAATAAATTTGCTATTTATATATTGTTTTATTGTGATACTTTTACATTTAGAAGATAACGGTAATTGCAGATACAGATCCTGATTTTTAGACAAAGTCAGGATCCATCCTTAATTTTTTAAGGAATAGACGTAAGTTATACATATGTACAGGTAGGGCTACGTAAGTACATATGTACAGGTAGTGCTTGGCAAAGTTCCGTGAATGAAACGGAGATTTACAAAAGTAAACGTTATTGTACGGCAAAAACTATTAATTTATAAATCGTTAACGATACAAACTATAAGCCGTTTTTGAAGAAAAAAATTAAGAGTTGAAACAAAAACGAAACGGATTGTTTTCATAGGGTGAATTTCGTGTTTTTTTCTGCATGAAATTGCATTAAACTTGTTTTTAAAAATGTGTTTACATGTTTGATGTTTTCAATGTCGTCTTCTGTGTTCGCCCCGTTAAAGCAGTAATAGACCATTAACGGCTACGCCCTTAACAATACCATTAAGCATTAAATTAACTTTTTCGGTGTTTCCCGCCATTAATTATGTAATAGCAGTATCGTCAATGGTTGTTGAACGTTTTCCCAAGCCGTTAATAAAATGTAGATCGTCAGCTATAAACGGTAACTTAAAAAAAGAGAAGTTTCGTTCTTATAACCCTCTAAAACTAACGGCTACCTTATTTTATGCTATTAAAACTAGCCGTTAACGAAAAAACATGAAAAAGTTGTAACGTACCAGTGATAAACACAAAGGATGATACTTCAGCAAAGAGAATAGAATATATATTAGAATGGAATTTACTAGCAAAAAAGTGTGAAACGTCCAATTTGTTGTACTGTGTCCATACTGCAGATGTATTTCACATATTTGCGCTATATAACCTTTTGGGCCCTGGAACATCATTTTATAGAAAATCTAAGATTAATGTTAAAAGAAACCCAAATTATGATATAGGCTAGTTTCATAATTGACCAGCAATGATCGTGAAACAGATTAAAGCGAAATTTCGCGAAAAAGCGAAAATATTCGCACTTCAGGAGCGAACGAAATGCAAAGAATGTGAAATTTTCGCGAAAAGATTTACCCGTTTTGCTAGAAACCCTAACATTTTGTCCTTACAGCAAACATAACGAAAGTATTTCGAAATAAAAACATATTGTGCTAAAAGAACAAAAACATCTAAATTGTATGCTTTAGAAATTTAAACAATTTTTATCATGATAAAAAAATTAGCATTATTGGTTTAATCTTTTCTAAGAGAAAAAAGGGTTATCATATTCTGGATATTTTTTTGTCTTTTTAACCTATTATAGGCTGAACATTTTGGGAAGCTGTTTTCCTTATTGTGATACAAATCTATAACTATTAATACATTTTAAAAAGCCCTTTAGCTCCACTTTAATAACTTGCCAAAAAAATTACAAATTTGCAAAATTTTAAATATTTATTTTCATTTTCAAGTTGTAAAGCAAAAAATGTGCAAAAACGAAAAGTGCGCGAAATATGATAAAATATACATTTTTGAAAAAAACCAATTATCACGGCGAATTCAAATATGCAAGAATATTTGACTTCGCCGTGATATGCCTGAGGACTCAGGCAGAAGGAATCATTGGTTAGTATGCATACTGTACAATTTGCTCTGCTTACAAGTCAGCTCGGTACTAAAAATTAACCGGATAGGAAGTGCCACGAACAGATCTAATTGTCTGATCCCAATATCTGTGCAAACCAACGTCACATGTAACATACTTCAAACTATGAATTATGCTTAATTTAATAAACTACATTTTAAATATCAAAGTTGTACACCATCAGGAGGCTGAGATATAGGGGTTAGAACATTTGAGTTTGAGTTAAAGACAAAAGCTCAATTCCTGCCAGTGCTCCATGACAATAGTTTAGGTTTTAATATTGTCTTTTTTGATTTTCGTGACAATTTTACTGATATATTAATAATTGTCTATATTTCTATAACAGAAAGCAACCCCAAACTTGCCTCACAACCAAGGCCTGTCCAGTAAAGATAGTTTATAAATTATTAATTATAAATATGAAACCGTCGTCAAAACATCAAAACAATACAAATAAACATAAATATCAATTTTTTTTCGCAAATTTCTGGTTTTTCATATTGAATTTTTTTTGAATTCTTTAAAAAAAATTTTTTTTTTGCTTTCCAACAAAATACCCCTGTATGATTGAGGTTCAATAAAAAGGAATCAGTGTTTGAAACACAACCAACACAACAAAATAAGAGATCTCTAGAGTTTACTTAAAGGGAGTGTCCGCAAAAAATGAAAGGGGGTATAGGCTTAATGCGATAAAAAAGCGCCTTTGATCGCTACTAATCTTACTTCTAAATGTTGCGTCTATAAGGAGAAAATTGTTAAAGACGTCTCATACCGAACAACTTAGCGGCCATACAAATTGAGAAAATTGCAACATATAACTTAGACCGTAAAAAATCAATTTAATTTTAAACAAATCATTCAGATATTACAACCTATAGTCATCGATTATCTTTCGCCACATTTGTATATAGTTTATATTTTATATTTTTTTTAATTAATTTGTTTTGAATTTGTTTATTTCTCTTGTCGCTTGCGCAACTATCTAAGAATGCCGCACACCACTCACAATTTTCGAAATCCGTTGAAAACGTTTTCTAAAAAAATAAAATGTTATAAAATATAAACTATATACAAATGTGGCGAAAGATGATCGATGACTATAGGTTGTAATATTTAAATGATTTGTTTAAAATTAAATTGATTTTTTACGGTCTAAGTTATATGTTGCAATTTTCTCAATTTGCATGGCCGCTAAGTTATTCGGTGTGAGACGTCTTTAACAATTTTCTCCTTATAGACGCAACAGATAGGAGTAAGATTAGTAGCGATCAAAAGCGCTTTTTTATCGCATAAAGCCTATACCCCCTTTCATTTTTCGCGAACACTCCCTTTAAAAGAAAAAACGGAATTGAGTTTGCCCCGGACTCAAACTCTCTAATCCCTATATCTTTTCAACCTGATAGTGCAGTAAACCTTTCATATTGAAACCTTACACTGTTTGATCCAACAGAATCCATAGTTTGAAATATCTAAGGTCTAAAACATTGGGTTGCAAATTAGAGGCTACAAAATCGGCTTGGCAAAAACACAAATCCTTTGGTTTCTTTGAATTACATAGTGCAGGGAATTCATGTACGTGACGACTGTTACAATTTATGTACGTGACGACTGTTAAAATTTATGGTGACATGGAAACGCCTCAACACGGAAACGACTCAACGCGGAAACGGATCAAAAATTATTTTTGAGGCATTTCCGTTTTTTTTAGAAATTCGAGGAAATCCCTCAAAAGTTCAGAATTGTTGAGGGATTTCCGAATATTTTGTATCCGTTTCCCAATATTTAGAGTTGAATGGTTTCCTCTTTTTTTTAATCAATTTCCTCATATTTTTAGGTCCGTTACCTCATATTTTTGATCCGTTTCCGCTTTTTTCAAAAACTTTCAAATTGTTCCGTTTCCTCATATTTTTGATCCGTTTCCG